TCCTCATATTTTTGGTATTGGTGTTCTTATTGATCCATGCTTGAAGGAAATTGGCCTTCGAAGTTTGTTACAATCATTGTATGGTGGACAGATTATAGACTTAGATGATGGATCCACCCTTACTGCTACTACTCATTATTTAGCTATTAGAAATTATTTTCAAACCTTATATGATGAGTATGCAGCTAGATATGGTGTAGCTACACAACAGTCTTCAGCTTCGGCACCTTCAGCTTCGAGCACAGGTCGAGGTAAAAGTGTAAGTTTTGATAGGTATGCAATGGTAGCTGAACTAACTGGTGGATCTGGAACTTCATCAGGATTAGATGTTTCTGAAATAGATGAATATTTTTCTGCTTCTTTAGTTAGATGTCAAGGAAATGCTTTAGATATTTTGCAATGGTGGAAAGTATATGGATCAGTTTCATATCCTATACTTTCCACCATGGTTCGTGACTTACTATCAGTGCAGGTTTCGACTGTAGCCTCGGAATCCGCTTTCAGCACAGCAGGACGTTTGATCGACGACCACAGGACATGCTTAGATCCGTATACTGTACAAGCGGTGATGTGCTTACAGGATTGGTGGAGATACGAGAAGCGAACACAAGGCATCGAACGGATTGCTATGATTGAAGATAAATTTGAAGAGTTGGGACTAGCAGATAGATATAATGATTAGATAATATTCATAAAATTGTAATTTTTATTTCTTAGCTTTAAATTTGAATTAAATTATTTCGAAAAAAGTTGCAAATGATAGTGATATGGGTGAGTAGGTGCCAACCTAGTTGGGATGTACTCATCTATTGTGATGCGACGAATTTCGAAATAAATTTATACTTGTAAAGGATTTGTAAAGGATTTACCGATTATTAATAAAGAAGTTATTTTTATCATTTTTTGTACTTGTAATTTATGTCATTTCATTTCAAGTTATTAATTAAATTTATGACATTTTTTATAATAATTTATGATTTATGGTTTTGTTAAAATTTTAAAAAAATAAAAAAAACAAAAAAAAAATTCTTAAAAAAAAATCAAACCGGGCCGGCCCGGTGTCCGGCCCGCTCAGGCCCGGGCCCGGCCCAGACCACCCGGGCCCGGGTCCGGGCTTGGGTTTTGCCCGGCCCGAGCCCTGTTTCCTGGGCCGGGCCAGGCCGGACCGGCCCGGATGGACAGCCCTACCTATAGATGGCCTTCTAGTCTTCTACGCTATATAACATTTTGCTGTCATGCATGGGGGGCTTGAATATATTGTTGTCATTACTCATTGAATAGCAATTTATTGCTGAGCTGATTTCATGGGCCCCACTTTTCAAGCCACTCGGTGAAGAATTGGTCAGAAGTCTTCTTATTGCTGAGCTGATTTCATGGGCCCCACTTTTCAAGCCACTCGGTGAAGAATTGGTCAGAAGTCTTCTTGTGTCTCAAAATTTCAAGAGTAGCCCTGAAGGAGGGATTTTGATGGAGACGGCCCTTTTCGTTCTTTTTTTTTTTGGAACAAGTTTCTTCTGTCTCAAAATTTCAAATTTTGTCATTTATCATTCACAGCAACATAAACTCACTCTCAAGTTTTAGATTTTTTTCTCTCAAGAAATTTTTTGTTATTTGCAACTTACATGCGGGAGTCTAGTGAGAAAAGTTCAAAAACACAGAGGGATTTTTGTAAGACATTACAAAAACATGGGGGTTATGTAAGATGAACCAACTTCAAGGGGTTATGTGCAATACCCACCAAAGTTTGGGGGTGTGAAATTAACCCTTCCTCTAAATATTTTTTTAATAGAGAGATGAGTTTTTCCATGATTTTTGTTAAAGTTTATTGTGATGTGTGAACTTTTCCTTCATCCCCTTGAGATTTTCTATAAGGGGCTGTTTGGTTCGTTTTTTAACTCGGTGGAAAAGTTTTACACCGCTTTCACATCAGATTTTTCGTGACCACGTAGGATATAAGCTTTCCGTCAGTTTTTTCTCATCTTTGGTTCGCTAGGGTTGAAGAAGAAAAACTCAGTGAAAATCACTGCCACATCAGATTTTTTTTCTTTCCCCCAATTCCTTCCTCAACCTCGTGAAATCGACGAAAACTACAGTCACGTTGGCTTTTTGCCATATAAACAAAAGTTTTGCCTTTTTTTCATGCGAACCAAACACAAGAAAAATAAATACATTGGTTTCCCACTTTTTTTTTTGTGTGAAACAATCTATTCTTGGAAAAGTTTGGAAAACTACAAACTTGTGTTTTTGTACATAGAAATACATTTCCCTATATCTAGGAAACGAACCAAACAACCCCTAAAGAGAAACTCTACATAAATCATTTATGATGGAAAGAGGCAGCTACGAATGTTCCAAGTAAAAATATCAATATAGTTTGTGGGTTGGCGATGGATTGAATTGGTGGCCACGATAACGGTTGTAGGCAGGGGTGGATTTAGGATTTTAGTTCTAAGGTGGCTGCGTACAAAAGATAGACGAAAAATTTTATTAATGCAATTTTATTTACAAGAGATACACCACAACCCAAACAAAACGAGTAAAATAGCCAACGTCAATATCTTCAAAATATTTAAAAAGATGAAGATAAAAATTATGTAGAATGAATATATTTTAATTTTTAAGGAAAGATGTTTTATAGAAACCACCCTATCATTTTTTTCCCCAATTTTTTTTTGAGGGGGGGTGTGACCCCACATGGACTGTATATAGATCTGCCCCTGGTTGTAGGTGATGGCAACGGGCGGGATTTAAAGGAAGCTTAGATGGATGACTTTGTTGAATAACTGGTTCCTAATATGTTTCCTAATTTGTTTTGGTGACAGGTTATTGGGATTCCTAATCTGTTTTGGTAATAGGATTCCAAATCTGTTTCGGTAACAGGTTATTAGGATTCCTAATCTGTTTTATTTTTTGTTTTAGAATTCCTATTATGTTTTTGGTTTTAGGATTTCTATATATGGAACGATTGGAAGAGAGAATTGAGCAGTAAATTGGGGCTATTCGGAGCACAAAAAAGAGAGTTTTCTGGAGCTATTGGTTATGGTTTTGTTTGAAGAGAATTAGAGATTTGTTGGTGAGATTAGTTTATTGGTTTGAGCGAATTTGTAATCTCAGCTTGTACTCTTCTTCTCTATTAGTGAAAACTCCATCCCCTTCTTGCCCCCGTGGACGTAGGCAAACTTACCGAACCACATTAAAATTGGTTGTTTGAGATTGTGCCGTTATTTTGAATTGTTTGTGGCCTTCTCTCTCGGCGATTGGTTTGGTTTCTCGAAGCACATCGGTTGTTTGGCTTCCGCCGCACACAATAGACTTTGATATCATAACAAGTATAAAGTCTTTGGGATAAAATAAACGATCCCCTTCATTAGTACTATATGTTCTAATATCCTAATAAGTTTAGAAGGCTCAAATATACAATATTTAACTTTTACATAATGTTAATGACGTAAAAATCTTCAGATTTCCAAACAAGTTGTGTTAATTAGACTGCAATCCCTAAATTACTTTTCTACTATTAGAAACAAAGTGTAATGATCTCGACGACTCGGTAACTTCATGTAGCAATTCAAGAAGAAGAATCTCATATTTTGGTTCCCAGTAGCAAAAAAAGATAGTTAATTTACGGATTCTGATCTTGTTATTATACTATCTTCTTTCTTTAATATTTTTGTGGTCTCGTTAGTATATTATCTTCTTTCTTTAATAATTTTCCATCACACCTATAGATGGCCTTCTAGTCTTCTACGCTATATAACCTTTTGCTGTCATGCATGGGGGGCTTGAATATATTGTTGCCATTACTCATTGAATAGCAAGTTATTGCTGAGCTGATTTCATGGGCCCCACTTTTCAAGCCACTCGGTGAAGAATTGGTCAGAAGTCTTCTTTATTGCTGAGCTGATTTCATGGGCCCCACTTTTCAAGCCACTCGGTGAAGAATTGGTCAGAAGTCTTCTTGTGTCTCAAAATTTCAAGAGTAGCCCTGAAGGAGGGATTTTGATGGAGACGGCCCTTTTCATTCTCAAAATTTCAAGAATAACGATATTGTTTCTCATTTTCTGTTTATTATTTCCATTATACAAAAATGTAGAAGGAAATGTATGTTAATACAATATTCAAGAATGAGGATGCAACGAGTGTCCTTAGACATTCATGCTCTCTTTATGAAAGTCTCGTTTTGAGAAAATTCATCTCACGGCAGTTGTCCTCTGCCCTCATGAGGTAAACTACTTTTTTTTAAAAAAATTTAAGGTGATGCCTCAAGAGGTGCAAATTATATTCAATATTTCAACCGTTATAGAACTTGTCATTAAAATATATGGGTGAACATAGTCTTAATAACTCCTAAATTTTACTCCTCTTTTTTAATAAGCCGACGACTTTTTATTTTTAGCAAAGAATCGCCTAGATTTTACCCCTTTTCTCCAAGAAGCCCTCCTTTTTTCCTCTCCTTTTTTTCCCCTCTTTTTGACAACTAAACCCCTAAGTGTTACCCCTCTTTCCTAATAAGCCTCTTTCTTTCTTTGACAACCAAACCTGAGCTAACAATAAAACTCTAGGCTTTCTTAGAAGAGAGGAATAAAATTTGGGTTTCTTTGGCAAAAAATGCTAGTTAAGCACAAAAAGAGAAAGTTACAAGCTTCTTAGAATAGAAGGGCATAACTTAAAAACTTCTTTGTCATAACTTAGGGGATTTTAAGTTATGTTCTCTAATATATGTAGATATCAATGTTCTAAATTCTCTCCTGTTATAAGTAGACATAGCATTCATGTATACCACCATTGTTGTTATCACACACATGCATATATAACTTTCGAAATTACTCGATAAGTAATCCAATATCAAGAGTTGAAACTGCATATTTTCGTAAACGTAGTTATTATTCCAACTACTTCCGACCAAATCCATATCCAACACAAATACCCACCAGGAGGGCGGTCAGAAGTCAAGAGGACCCCTCGTCGTTGAAGGCTCAGACGAGTTGCCGTTTTCAAACTAAGCAGAAAACAAGGTGCAATATCGAAACAGCATTTACGTTCAGTACAAAATTTCAGATCAATCCACATAGCATCCAACAAAACAGGAGATACACTGACCCATAACCCACACATGGTAACATAACCAAAATACAAGTACTCTAAAACCTCTCTACTATTTCAAGAAACTTCATCGGTAAGCAAAGACTTGGTACATTGATGGGAGATTAGTGAAATCAACATTGCTCGCCCTTAATCTCCTTTCCTCCTAAAAGAGCATCCTTCGGTGAGTCTTGCTTTTCCTCCCGTTGGTTGGCATAACACAGTCTGGCAGTTCCCACAAACTACGACGGTCTGTGAGTGACTAAACACAGTAGTGCTGAAATAAGAGAGGGAGAAAGGGTTAATTTTAAAAGGAAAAAAAGGTAGGGCTTTCAAAATTATATTAAATCCTCCTGAACTATTGAAATTCTTATAAAGGGCGTCCATGGGTATGTTAACTTACATGTTGAAACAACCTTGGCACTTGACATCCTACAACACAAATTAACCAAAAATAGAAAGCGACACTTAGGATACAATAAGCAAGAGTAAAACATTGAATCAGAGCCTTAAATTCCAAAACAATACCATGAAAAAGGAATTAGGCGACTGCACGAGACGCTTGAGCTTATGTCTCCTTTTCTCAAGCTCAGCTGGGGGATTTAGCAGATCAATATCATTTGGAAGAACCTAATTCAAAAATAGAAAAGCAATGTATCAAATGAAATACAATTCAAATTACTTATGAAGAGAAGAAAGCTTCCGTTTAGTTCAACATGAAAGAAAATGAGGAAATCTACATAACCGCAGAAAGAACTGTGATAAGAAGAGCCTACAACTCTCAAAGGTAAACATGCAAAAATCTTGAAGAACCAGATAATAAAGGGCTTTTGGATATTGGTCCATTAGGGGTGCTAAACCGTATCCGAGGAAATATCCGTAATTGTATCAGTTAGGATACGAATATGGTTATTCAAATCTATAACCGATAGGATATGGTTACGGATATGGTTTTGTAGTGAAATATCTGTATCTGTATCCGAAATATCCGAATACATATTAGTCATAGTCTTTCAATAGTTTTGATTCTTAGATTATGAATTTGTGGTTAACTTTGATGATCAAGATATCTAATCTTAACTTTTCAGTTATAATGGACATATTAACAAACTCTTTCGTATCACATGAACTATGTTTTTCTCAATACTATCTAGTTTTCTCATATCTGTTTTGTATCCGCATGCATATCCGCTTATATATCCGCATGTATATCTATAACCGTATACGATTTTAGTGGATATGATAATAAATTTTCCTTACCGAGGTATGTCTGTATCCGTATCTGAGATGGGTAAGCGGATATGGATATGGTAAGCATCATATCCGAGCCGTATCCAGACCGAATGCACCCCTAGGTCCATATCACCTCAACTTTGAAAAAGAATACCCTAGGTAAATAATTTACATTTAAGTGACACAAAGAGCTAGTTACTGGAAATAAGGATTTGTTGTTGTTCTCAATCTAATATTCCATGTTGCACGGATACGGACACGGGTGCAGATACAGATACGAATACCAGGACACGGCTTTATACATACATATTAAAATTAATAATCTATATGAGATCGATGATGTCTTTCATTAACATATTATGAAAACTAACATTCTTGTATCATTTTTATGACTCTTGTATTGAATAGATTATAAATTGAAAACCCACTTGTTTTTTAACTACATACCCAAACAACCTTTTAAAATCATACTTCTGAACTAGGCATATACTAAACTAAAATGAACCTGTCCACGGTCTAACAAGTTACATAATTTTGAGGTTAAGTGTACGATAATACATTCAAGAAGTGTATCACGAGTCTTTTAAAACTAAAACATGTGTTATATATTAAGTACGCATCCAAATAAATGTTTATATGTATTTAAGAAGTGTCCAAGGAGTGTCTGACACAAACATGGACAAGGATGTAACGCCCCATAGAGGTACATAAAAAATGGCCATGACCCATTCGTAATAAGGAGATTTGACCTGCTCAATTTATACGTACACCCCTATACACATATATACAATAACATTGAAGAGAGGAATTAAAGCAGCGTGAAATTTTCTATTTTCAAAACACTACTCGTGCGCCTTTCTTTTAAACTTCATTTCGTCAAATTTGGATATCATTTGCTATCTTGAATTCTTAGTAGAAGTGGATGCATGTGTCTGAAACAAACTGCTTGAGACGTGTTCACTACAAGGAGCATAAGTCTCCATGTATATCTTGCATGTATTAAATTCTTGTCAATCAGGAAACCAGGCTCGTATGACTTTCTTTTGAAACTAATTTGGTTCATTTTCGATGTCATTTGCTATCTCTAATTCATGATCAAATGTGTTTCATATGCACCGGAGCCTGTGTGATAGTGCTATGTGACACCCATGCAATATCTTATCCATATATCTGTGATCGTCAGTCATAATTTTGATCTATTTGGATATTTCGAAACTAGTCATTCAAATCTTTTATTTGAATCTAGTTTTATCCAATTCTTAGATCTTTTACTAGTTCAAATATGTGGTCAAACTCTATGTATGTGTACAGGAAATTCAGTCTGCCCTCTAGTGGTGTGTTGCATGTATCTCAATTTATGTTTATATTTGAGTAAATAAAATTTTATAATCTAAAACTAGGTTTGTTAAATTATCCATATCATATTTATGGTTATATTTTGATAGTGGATTATACCTAAAAGAGCTAGGAAGATGAGGGAGTAAATTATGCTCTCGACACGAGTCTAAAACCCTGGCTCTTCTATGTTGTATGGGGCATAACTCTCTTTAGAAAGTTTGCAAGCATAAATTTCTTTTTGTTTCAAAAAAATAGACTTGTATAGAAATATTTTGAGTATTGTTTCACAAATTTTGGATGCCATTTGACCCTTCATTTCTGCACTTAAATCTACTACATTAGCTTGCAGTTAATGTCTGTATATGTCCTGCATATTCCATGTATAACTTGAGCCATGCACATAAGTCTTTAAAATAACTTATTGTTCTAAAAAGAAGACACGTGTTAGAATCATATGGCACTAGTTTCATATACTTTAGACATCAATTGATCTATCATCCATCCAACTCAAAATGTTGCACGTACACTGCATTTGCTGTTGTGCATATTATGAGTGTGGGGGATGTAACCATCTCGAGTGTAGCATATACCATGATATAAGTTATTAGTTAGAAAAATAATAAAAGACCTAGTTGTCTAGAATCTCATATGCATATACATGTGTATATAGGAAAAAGATTTTTGGATTCGTTCATTGGTCCAGAGGAATCTGACACAAATGGTAAGTAATATTTCCTCTCAATTCTTTGAGAGTTCGATTGATTGCTTTCTTGAAATTCTTGCAAGTTGTTTTCCAATGTTTAGTTGTATATCTTAACACTTCCATAATATTCCTATTTGAATTACTTCATGTATGGACTCTTTGTTGATTGCTTAACCATTGCTGCTCCCACTATTGTTTATTTCGATTTTATATCATGAATATTCTCTGAATGATTATATTGTGGCTATTCGACTTGCTTTGATAATTACATTATTGAGAATGATAGTATTCTTTCATTTGTTAATGGTTGATACTCTATATTCATGGATTATGCCATGTGTGAATAAAATTTCACCGATAGTTGGTAATAGAAATGGGTCCCTGTGGGGACAATGCCCTGTGTGAGGACGCTCACCGGTAGGTGTATAAAAGCATGTGTGGTTTATTGATTATCCCATATCAGGAAAGTTTAGAATCTTGATTATTTCGTATTTATGTTTGTAGTACTCTTAACTTATCAGACATGTACTAATGTGTATTGTAGTTATTACCAGACTTAAACTGTATTCTGTGTTTTGTTGTCAACATTTTGACTCTGGGTGTTGTATATATATTTTCGTTGCTTTAATTCCACTCTTTAATACTATTGTATGTGTATAGGAGTGCACGTAAAAACTAAGCAAGTCGGATTTCCTTATCACAAAGAGGTCATGCCTAATTTTTATGTATCTCTGGGGGCATTTCACAGTGATATCAGAGCATAGGTTGACACCTTAAAAGTCCTAACCAAAATACCAAGGGAACTTAGGAATGGTCTGAGCCAGTGTCAAACACCAGTCGTGGATAGATTATCTTTCCACAACATTCTTATGATATCTATATTCCTACTAGATTTATTGGGCACACTTCGATGTTGATGGATGGCTTTTGGCAGGCAAGGTAGATTTCAATTCGATTGTTTTTGAAAGGGGAGGATCTGTAGACAACGGGGAGGTGCGGTCTGCACATTCAATTGAACGGGAGATCAGCTCCAAGGAGACTAACCCAGAGGAGACGCTTAGGAAGAGTAGATTATTTGCCAATTAGCCATCGTACTCACGGGCGATTGGCGAGCCAAAGGTAGATGACCATGAGAGTGAAGACCATGCAGCCGAGGAGGATCCTAAGGACCCGAAGGACCCTGTGGAGGTGGATCCCTAGAACCCGAGGAAGACCCTAGTAATGATGACTATGTAGTGGAGTAATATGCTTTTGTAGAGCCCTAATAATGATGAAGATGTATACGCTAATATTATATCAATGAAAAAGTTTTTTGTTGGATCAGTACTCTATGTTGATTAATTGACGTTCATGATATATCCTATGAGCAATAGAAATATTTCAATCTGAGTACAAGTAATCTATGAATTTTGTTACTAGACTACCCCGCTTAGTAAAAGGAGAGGACGCCATATGAGTGGTAGTTGACCGCCTGACCAAGTCAGCACGCTTTATACCCTACAAGATGTTGTATACCATGAAAAAGTTGGCTAGCCTATACATTGAAGAGATCGTGAAGTTCCACGGAATTCTCATATCCATTATATCAGATCGAGACCTCCGTTTCACCTCAAAATTCTGGAAGAGCCTACATAGTGCTTTATGGACTGGACGGAGAAGATCCAAACCATTCGACAACATACGAAGACAGTACAAAGTAGACAAAAGAGCTATGCAAATCGACGATGCAAGGATTTAGAATTTCAAGTCGGTGATCATGTGTTTCTAAAGATAACACCAATGAAAGGCATATCAAGAGGTGGTATGAAAAGCAGCAAACTCCGTCTGAAATACCTTGGGCTATTCCAGATTTTGAAAAGGATCGGACATATGGCTTACCGGCTACCTTTGCCCCCAAAATTGAAGAAGATTCATAAAGTGTTCCACATCTCGAACCTAAAAAAGTATGTACCAGATCCAAGACACTCACACTAAGCCTTGCTCTTGCAGGAGAATCTATCTTACGAAGAACGACCAGTTCAAGTGCTAGACTTTAAGGAAAAACAGCTGATAAACAAGTCCATATTGCTAGTTAAAGTATTATGAAACAATCAAGAGGTTGAGGAGGCAACATGGGAACCCAAATCCAAAATGCGAAAACCATATCCGCATATGTTTCGAGGGTACATAAAATTTTAGGGACGAAATTTTCTTAAAGAGGGAGGTATATAACATTGCAATTTTTCCCTTCCGATGATCAAATACCTTTGCCGATGCTGGTCCATAAATTAGTTTTTTTTCTTTTCCTTTTGTCTTATGTAATCTTGTGACATGAGGATGCTAACTTAGCTAATCTCTCATTTATGATAGACAGTGT